TATATTCCTGAGCCTTGAGAAAAGGCTTTTGATAAAACATTCACACTTTCAGTGCTTCTAAGTGTCTCACTCTCCGCATACTGTCCATTCATTTTTCTGCATGTTAATGCTCATATTCTGCAAAGAAAAGCTTCTCCAATGTGTGTTAAGAGATGCAATGATTTATGTATGTGTATAGCAGTACGTCATTAGCAGACAATTTATACCAATAGCTATGTTACTTTATAAGAACAATAACAGTAGCTTTTCCTTTAGTCTAATTAATCTCAGAATCTTGTCTGGTTTTCGTTCACATCATGAAGGAGCACTTAATTACAATCAAAATATATTCATCCCTGGATTATGTGCTCTCTGGTTCTTGGTTACCTACCCAGGGCCAGGTATAGGTTCCATCTCGTGTAGTGGACCTTAAATCATAACAGGAATTGGTTGGATACTCCCACAAGGTTTTGTGGTAACAGTGGGATGGTGAAGTTTCCCACTATTAGTGTGTGGGGTTTGATTAACGATTCAAGCTTTAGTAATGTTTGTTTTACAAAATGCAGAAGCCCGTGTATATTGGGAATGAATTTTCAGAGTAGACATTTCCTCTTGATGGATTTTCCTATGATCAATATGAAATGCCATTCTTTAACTTTTTTGAAGTGTATTTTGTTAGATATTAGGATAGCTGCACCAACTTGTTTCTTAGGTCCATTTGATTTGAAATTTTTTCCAACCCATTATTCTAAGGTAATGTATGTCTGGAAGGTTGAGTTGTGTTTCGTGTATGCAGCAGAAGGAAGGATTCTGTTTTTGTATCCAATCTGTCAACCTGTCCCTTTTTAGAGCTCAATTGATATCATTTATATTAGTAAATATTAATGACCAGAGATTGATAGTTCCTGGTATTTTTGTATTTATTGTTGGTGATGGCATTGTGTGTTCAGTTCCCTTCTTTGGGATTTGCTGCTTGTTGACAAAATACCTAAACTTGTTAAATGGAAAAAAGAAATCATCTTCAACAAACAGGACTGGTCTAACTGGAAGTCATCATGGAGGCATATCTATCTCCCTTTACAAAATTCAAGTCAATGTGAATGAAAGACCTCATTATACAAGCAGTTACACTGAACCTTACAGAACAGAAAGTGGGACATATCCCTGAATGCCTTGGCACAGGAGAAAACTTCCTGAGAAGAATACCAATAGGGCAGGAACTAAGATCAACAACTAATAAATGAGACTTCATGAAATTGAAAAACTTCTATAAAGCAAAGGACATCATCAAAAGGACAAAACAGTAGCCTAAAGAATGAGAAAATAACTTCACCAACCCCAAATCTGACAGAGGGCTGAAATTTAAAATAGATGAAGTACTCGAGAAACTAGCCATAAAAAAATCAACTAACCCAACTAAAAATTCTGAACAAATCTAATCAGAGAATTCTCAACAGAAGAATCTCAAATGGTCTAGAAAAACTTAAATAGTTTATGCTGGAGAGGATACGGAGAAATGGAAACATTCCTCCACTGCTGGTGGGAGTGCAAAGTTGCAAAGCCATTTTGGAAATCAGTGTGGCAGTTCATCAAGAAAATGGGAATCAGTCTACCTCAAGATCCAGCAATTCCATTCTTAGGCGTACATTCAAAGGATACACATTCATACAACAAGGACATCTGTTCAACTATGATCATAGCAGCATTATTTGTCATAGCCAGAACGTGGAGGCAATCTAGATGCCCCTCAACTAAAGAATGGGTAAAGAAAATGTGGTACATGTACACAATGGAGTACTACTCAGCAGAAAAAAAATGGAATCTTGAAATTTGCAGGCAAATAGATGGGACTAGAAGAAACCATCCTCAGTGAGGTGATCCAGTCACAAAAAGACACATTATATGTACTCACTCATATATGCATGGTAGATATACAGCAAAAGATTACCAGCCTAAAAATCCATACCTCCTGAGAAGCTAGGAAACAAGGAGGACCCTGAGAGAGACATACAGGGTTCCCTGGAGAAGGGGAAGAAAAGATCTCCTGAGCAAATTGGAAGCAATGGGGGAGGGGAGAGGAAGTTAGGACATAGAAAAGAGGAGAAGAGGAAGGGAAGGAGGGCATGAGGGAGCAGGAATATTGAGTCAGTGGAAGAATAGAAGTGATCAAGAAAGGAGATATGAATGGATTTTGGGAGCCTACTCCACCTAGAGGGATACTCTCTCAGCCTAGACAAATGAGGGAGCGTCTAGTCCCTGCTCCAAATGTTATGTTAGACTTAGAAGATCCCCATGGAAGGCCTTACCCTCACTGGGGAGCAGAAAGGGGGTAGAATGGGGGTCATTGGGGGCCAGGGAAGGAGGGAGGGAGAGAGAACTGGGATTGACATTTAAAACAAAACTTGTTTCTAATTTAAATATAAAAAAGAAAGAAAAATATTCCATCATAGTCCTTGCAGAATAGTTAAGATCAATTAAACAAGTGACAGTTCATGTTGGCAAGGATGTGGAAAAAGGGAACACTCCTGCATCACTTGTTGCAATGTGAAATTAGTGCTTATTTTATTAAATAATACATTCGTATTAATTCTTTGGGAATTTATTGCACCTTATTTCAATAATATTCACCCATATTTCATCTCCTCATTCTCTAAGATTCATCCCTTCTCCTTCCTCTTCCATGATCAATTTCACGTCCTCTTCCCAGTTTTTATTATAGATAGATACTTTTCTCAGCACATCCTAATTACACTTATACTCCTCTCTGTTCCTACCCACTTCCCCTCCCTTCCACATCCACTTGCTTTCTGTCTGTCTCATTAGAAATTTACAGACTTCTAAGATGTAACAACCAAACATGACAAAACAAAATACAAAAAGATAAAACAAAAACCATCACATTAAAATTGGACGCTGCAACCTAACACAAGGAAAAGAGCCACAATAGAAGGCACATGAATCAGAGAGCAACTCTTTCACATACTCAGGAGTTCCATAAAAATACTAAAGAAAAAGCATTAGTAAAAGCACAGATGACCTGCTGCAGACAGGTGTAGGCTCTGTGCATGCTGTTTCAGTGTGAATTCATATGAAATTTGATCATGTTGCTTTAGAGGGCCTGTTTTCCTGATATACTTGTTCCCCTCTGGTTTTACACTTTTTCCACCTCTTCTTCTGTGGGATTCCCTAAGTTTCTGAGTGGAGGATTTTGACAGAAACACCCCATTTAGACTTTTGTGTTCCAAGGTCTCTATTTCTCTATGTATAATGTCTGACTGTGAGTCTCTGTATTTGTTCCCATCTGCTGCAGGAGAAAGCTTCACTGATGATGGGTGAGCAAAGCACTTATCTGTGAGTATAGCAGAGTGTCATTGGGTGATATTTTGCTATTATTTCTTTTTTTAAACAGCAGTATTTATTTTTATCCTATGTCTCTGGGGTACCAAGCCTTGGGTTCTTGGTTACGCAAGAAGTGTCAGGTATGGGTCCCATATCATGGAGTGTGTCTTAAGGCAAATCAGACATTGGTTGGTCACTCTCAGAAGCTTTTTGCCACCCCTGTCCTAGCACATTTTGCAAGTAGGAAAGATTGTAGATTAAAGGTAGCAAGATGTCTCTGTCAATTCTAGTGTTTATATATTGTCCTTCTGTGGTCTTTGATGGAGTTGAAAACAGATAGTTATATTTTCCCTTAGTTATGATAAAAGATAAGCTACAGATAAGATTCTGGACTCACACAGATAGGATAGGTGATAGAATACTTTCTTTAAAATTTTACTAAATGTTAATGTACTAACTATTGTAACTACAGTTCTTACTTGATAACTGTTTTTTTATATATTTTACTATGTTAAAGTTAAAATCCTTCTTTCTATTATGACAGAAAAGAAGAGATGATGGGGGAAGTCCTTCTGTGTATATGTTTGTCTTATTGATTGATAATGAAACACTGATGGCTAATAGAGTAGCAAGATAGGTGGGCCTAGGAGTTGAGGAGGATTCTGGGAAATTTAATAAAGGGTAGAGAGCTGCCATGTAATTCAGGGAGGAGAGGATGCATGAGGCTAGCATTCTTGGTAAGATAATTCCTTGTAAAAATATACATATTTCGGGTTAATACATAAGACAGAACTAGCCAATGAGAAGCCCTGGACATTAACCAACAGCATTGTAACTAATACAAGTCTTGCGTGTTTATTTGTGGGCTCTAAAGCGGGGATGAGACCCAGGCAGGAATTTGGCAACACTCAGGAATGTATATAGAAGAAGAGGAGAAAAGAGTTTAAGGGTCAGTGGTGAAAGTGACTCAAAGGAAAAAGTGTCTTGTGGACAAAACAGGAGCAATACACATGTGAATTCACCAAGACTGTGGCACCATGCATAAGACCTGTACAGGTTCAAGCCACACTCTGTCCCAACACTGAAAACAGAAAATAGTCACAGCGTCTCACCACTAACCATGTAGCTTTTTGCAATAGATACCTGCTGGCGAAGGGAAAACCAGTTTTGTACAATGAAATGTCACCGGGAATATCAGCTACACACCACGGCATACCCCATGCTCCTGAATAGTTGGCCAGGATAAACAAATCTGAGAGGAGTTGGTGGATGGGTAAAAATATGATCAAAATATATAATATGGAAAAATACAACAAACAGGAAAAAGAAGCAGATGAAAGAGCCCTAAACATAATGCAGCAATAGACAAGGAAAAACAAATGTTATAAAAAGACAAAAAAAAAAAACAAACCAAACAAACAACATGGTAGAATATACTGAGGCCATGGGCAATAGAGGGGCACGCATTACTGCCACATCCTAGACCAGGAAACTTTCTAAGTGCAATCTAAATACCTATGCTTATATGCATAGATGAGCATATTAGGTCTCAACTTCCTCAAAGGAGATTCCTTTTGCAGCTGAATGAGACTATTACAGAAATTCATAACTTGTCAAATTGCTGGGAATAGCTCACTGTGGAGGGCACATCCACAATGTATACATCTACAACACAGCCCCTATACAAAAGGTTTAAGAACTATATTGAAAGATGGGGCAGAAAGATTGTAAGCTCCAGAGGACCAGGACAACTGCAATGAAAATGTGTCTTCTATATGAGAAGGGCAAGCTATGCCCATAAAATATAAACACTATGGTCACATAAATAAGACACCCACAATGACAACATCTGTTAGTATGCCAACATGAATGGTGGATATCTCACCAGATTATACACTTAAAAAAATAGAAATCACAAACAACACATACACACACACACACACACACACACACACACACACACACACACACTTCCAGCAGACATAATTTTCCTTCTGAGTTCCTGTCAATAAAATGGAACAAAAGCACCTTTGAAAACAACAAAAAAAGGAAGGAAGGAAAAGTTGAAAATCGTGGAGGGGAAAGTGGTAGCTTGACCATGGGAACAGCAGCATGGAGAGTATAGAACCATTACTACATAATTGCCCTGGCCTAGGAGCATCTTTCTCCAGAATGTCCCAGGAAAGATGCAAAACTACTAAGGAAAAGATTGCAACATTTCTGGAATAGGTTTGAGTCTGGACACGTAATGGTGTTATTGTCAACAGGTTGGACATGGTTGCTCCTCCTGATCATGCTCCCAAAAATATTTCACCACATGGTTAATGTTGACATTCAGGATCCTGTAGCCTCTGACCTTCTTCAAAGGAGGGTGTAAAGCCCACAGTTATTCTGTCCATTACTGGAGAAGCCTTTTAAATATTCTTTGGTTTTTCTGTTGCGAATGCATGTTGTCATTTTCTATTATCTGTGTTTTTCCTTGTATAAGAGGGACTGGGTGGTATATGAGTTGAGTGTCAGTTATTGAGGTCTAGTGTCAGCTTTTCTAAGGATGGTGAATGATAGGTTGCTTCTCTCTTGGTCCCCTCAGACATCCCAGACGTGTTTCCCACATATTTCTGGCAGCAGTGGTATTCACATTTGAACATCTCCAGATTTGCATTTCCAGGAGAAGAGGGATTTCTGTTCCTGTCCCTTTGGTGACATAACACAAACCTGACACGTTTCTTTCTCTTGATTTCAGCTAGCTTTGCTTTCTTTTGGGGTGATTTTGAATTCTCAGGCTAATGCTCTTCTTCCATCCCTTCAAAGAAAAAAAAAAGCACATATTAGAAACACAGCTCATGCTGCTCAGACTCCTGGAGCACCTACAAACACGCTCATGTACACCTCTCAAGAGGAGCCCCTGATGGTTTCAGCAATGGAAATCTTAGTTTCTAACTGGTTGGTGCAGCCATATTATTTTAATCTCAGCACTCTGGAGGCAGAGGCAGGTAGAACTCTGAGTTCCAGCATAGCCTGGTCTGTAGAGTGAGATCCAGGACAGTCAGGGCTCTGTAGACAAAATACCTTGTCTCAAAAACAAAAGAGAGCAAAACTAGGACAACAACAAAAGTGTCTGCCCTGGCATAATAACCATTAAGTTTCAGTATTGACAGACACAAACACTCAGGTATAACAAAAGCTTTCAGTTTAGACTTAGGACCCACTCAAAAGAAATACTTAGGCTAGCTAAGTATCCACAGCCTGGTGAAGTCATGAATCTTGGAGGAGATTCTAAAATTGACATTTTACTAAACCAGCATAAACCACAACTACCATCTAAGTATTTTACCTCGTACTCACAGATACGTGTAGGCCTCAGCCATCACTAAGGAAACCTCACTTTGCAACATACAGAGGCCAATATACAAAACCACAAACAACAAAAATGCAGAGTTGTGAAGGCAAGTATGAACAGATAAGTCTACCACAAAACTCTTGAGGCCAAGGCTCAGGGATCATTGTGGAAGAAGGCACAAAGAGATTGTTAGTGCTACAAGATTAGAGAGTTTGCTGTGAGACTGTGTCTCCTAGGAACGTCAGAAGCTACACGCATAAAGTCTCACCAACATGCCTGCATAAATATAGGATGAACAAGGATGCCTTCAAAAGACACACTAACATGGAAAGGGCTGTGTGGTGGAGGTGGCAGGTAGAGATCATGAGGTCTTATAGAAGTACAGACAACTAAGGAACGCTGAGAGTCTGGAGTAAAAGCTTCCCCAAGAAGATTCACACCCATAGGTTATGTAATACCATATGCCAGTCTTGAAACTATATACCTACGAGTAACCTTATCCAGACTGAATAGGGTGTATTTATGCATTTAGGAATATGTGTATACTATGAATACAGCAATGATTCCCAGAAAAGGAGACAATGACTTTCAAAGACAACAAAGGAGATGTATGTGGCAGGTTTGGGAGGGAAACAAGGGAAGGGTAAGTGATGTAATATTCATCTCACCAACAGAAAACCTTAAGTGGATGCTCACCAATCACCACTGGCAACACCCACCACTCTCACCTCCCACCCCCACACACATTTGCTTTCCTAACAGCAAAACACTGCCTCCTACTGCACTGCAAAGCTCAGCATGTTAGCACTTAGACTTAAATGTTGACTTCTGTAGACCAAAGTGCCATATAAACTCCACAAGGGTAAAAGACTGCCTGACATGGAGAAAGACCTCCCTAAATTACTGCATCGGTTACCATTGTTCTCCATCTCTGTTGGGCGAGGCTGGAGGCCAGAGAATAAATAAAGGAACAGTACCATCTGATGAACCACAGGGAAAGCAGGACTTTGATGGGGTCACTAGAAGCCATGTAGTTATGCAGATGACAGTCCTGGAAGTCTCCAACATGGAACCCACGCAAAGCCCTTCTTTTCTTTTCATTCACACTGACAGGTATCTTTACTCCTTGTCCCTCTCTCCTCTTCTTCATTCTGCAACACTTCTGCGTGTCTCACGTAGGGAGACCTCCAGCCACATGAGAGATGGCATGCTTCCTCCATAGCATAGGTGTTTCCTTGCCCTGCTCCTGCTTGAACTGAACCTGAATGCTCTGCCGACTATCAATACAGGTTCTTTAAAAATCCTACCCACCTGCCATCATCACCTGGAAATACCCAACTCCTAAAAACCTGATCACAGAATCCTAAATGAAGATGGGGAGTTCATCAAATGCCTGAAGTGCCCATGCACCAGATAATGTTGCCTCCTAGATTTTCCCATTTGTGCATGGCAGCTGCTGGACTTTGTTTAAAACACTGCTTGTCTAGATGAAGAGACACACATCCAAACAACTAGGCACAGAGAGAGCCCAAATTGGAGATCTGCATCGGCTCCTCCCCTGGGATGTCATAGAGTTCCCTTGGGAAGGGAGAGGAATAATTGTGGGAGCCAGGGGTTTAAGGGACACCTGAAGAATGGGGCTCACAGAAACAACTGAGCAGGCTTCATGGGGGCTCACAGACACTATACAAACCATCATAGAGCCTACAGGGTTCGTTACTAGGTCGTCCGCATGAATGTCACGGCTCTTATGGGACTCCAAACAGTGTAAGTGATTGTGTCTCTGATGCTTTTCGTGCCCTTGGGACCAAGTTCTCCCTACAGTTTGGCCTTTTCTAGCCCTGATAAGTGGGTTTGTGCTTAGTCCTCTTAGAACTTGTTATGCCACGTTCTGTTGGTATCTCCAGGAGTCTGCTCTTTTCTGAAGGAAAACAGGAGTGAATCTGAGGGTAACAACAGGTGAAAGAGGGAGGAGTGGAGGGAGGACTCGGGGCTCTGCTGTGGTAGGGATTTATAATGCGAGAGGTGAATAATATAAATGAGGAAAAAGAAAAACTGATGTGTCTGTGTCTGTGTGACTGTGTGTGTGTGTGATGCTTGCCAACCCTATGTAAGTTTCTTAGTTTCTGTTCTTATTGTCTTCATCACATATGCCTAGGAAATGAAGCCAAGGAAACCTGGGAACACCTGATTGTTTGGACAAGTCACCAGGATTTCTAGACACAGTTCACTTCCAGTGGTCACCATCCATACCACTGCAGGGGGCTGGTTATACATGTTGTGGCACTCACTAGGTATTCTGGACAATCTGGGTTAAACAGTAGCCAGTGTAGCAATGCAAACACATGCTTTGTAAATCCTCTGCTAACACCTGAAGCATTCCAGGACAGGGGATCACATCTTACATCCAGGACAACAGCCCTTCCTTTTCCAACCCCATTGGTTTTCCATCAATGCTCTGTCAATCTGCCACCAAAACTGTGGCTACAGGTAATTGAAATTTATCATGTAATCTAATCATCTCCAAGCTTTAGAATTACATATGGGGTTGATACCATGCCCTGCCTTGAGGTTAATAGGCTCCAAGCAAGATGTCCCTAGTACTGATGTCAGCAGTAGAGGTCCTGAAAGATTTCCGGGGTCCAATCTCACTCTACTTGCTATATTAGTTCAGCTCCTTCCTCATGTGGGGGACTGAACCCTGTACCCTTGCTGCCCAGCATCTTAGCCCATTCAGGTGCTGTTGGAGAGGCTTCCACAGTCCCTTCCTGTGCTTTCCCTTCAGCGCCCTCCACCAGCCGTCTATGGACACAAACCTATCTCTCTCTGTGCCTAGGTCCTGTCAGCTGTTGCGCCCATGGTCTAACAGAATCACGAAAGAGGTGTTGGTAGAACTTCCAGGAGGATTCACAAGGGCATTCCCTTGCTGTGTGCACACACACTCTGGAGTTCTTTGACCTCTCTGTTAATTAAGTGACCCACATTAGTATTCAATTTTCACTTAGTATTATGCCCCAGAAGACTTTCATGTGGGTTAGACCATATTTTAATTAGTCCCCTCATCAGAATTCTAAGACTTTTCCAACCCTGGCTGCTACAGAGTCCTTACCTTCTTGTACATCTATTTTAATATAGAAAACATTTAATTGGGGTGACTCACCGTTTCAGCCTAAAGTTCCTTATCATCATGATGGGGAGCATGGAGATACGAAGCCAAACATGGTGCTGGAACTGAGAGTCCTATATCTTGCAGGTGACAGAAAGTTGACTCAAGCCATTTGATAGTACCCTGAGTATAGTAAACCAAAAAGTCCACCATCACTTCATTCAAGAAAGTTACATCACATGATAGCACTACTCCCTATGAGATTATGGGGGGGGGGAGCAAAAACATCCAAACTACCACATTCTTCTACCTGGCCCCCATAAATTTTTTAACAATATCATAGTGCAAAATACATTCAGTTAAACTTCAAAAGACCCCATAGTTTATCACAATCTCATCAATGTTTGGATGTCCAAAGTACAAAGTCTCTTTTGAGATTATGTAATCTCTTAACAGTAATCCACTGTAAAATCAAAATCCAAAAGCATATTGCATACTTCCAACACATAATGGCATAGAATATACATTACCATTCCAAAATGTAGGGAAGGGAGAATAGGGAGGAAATACAGAATGAAAACAAGACCAAAAACAAGGTGGACATATTCCAAATTCTGCATCAAAACACCATCTCCAACCCTGTTCAGCTTTGTTGATGGCAACACACTTCTTTCTGTTGGACTGGTTCCACTCCCAGTTAGCAGCCCTCCTCGGCAGGTATGCCACAACTCTCGAATCTCTAACATCTTGGATTCTTCAAGAAATCCAGGCTTCAAATTCACAGCTTCACATAATGGCCTTTCTACTAGGCCTCCAGCCAGGGACACTCCTGATACATGCCTGGCCTCAGTGACATTCCTTAGGCATGGTGGTTATTTCCATAACCCATTTCTAGCACCCTCAACTCTAAATCCTTAACCATATGGCCAAAAAATGCCAAGTTCTGCTGATATCTACGGCTGGAACATGGCCCCTGTGTTCAATTACATCTTCACCAGCTTTCTGTTTTCCATGTCCACTGCCTAAGCTTGGCTGTTTTTGAACTCTGTAGAGCAGGTTGACCCACACCCTATGCCATGTGGCTGTCTGAGCATATTAGAATCAGGTGGGCACTGGGTATCTTCCTGCCAGCCCAGGTCTTGGGGATCCAAAGTGTTTTCTGGGTGGTTTGTGTGAACCTGAGTTGAGTGGCATCATATGGGCCCTGAACTTCCTGTACTTCTTAAGTGGTTTCTTTGGTATAAATTTCTGGTAGTCCTGGTCCTCTTCGGTGGGCAATATTTTGCTTTCTTTAAATTTACATGATTTTATCTTTTGAGACATAGTTTCACTATGTGACCATGACTGGCATGAAACTCACTGTATAGACTACACCATTCAAGAACTCACACAGCAGTGCCTATTTTTGCATCCTGCTACATGGGGTGGGCTATCATGCCCTGAAACGGTAGAAAAAAATTAAAGTGGGGGAGGGATGCTATAAGTCATGTGTCGCAAAGACTGAAAATCGAGTCTCTTCTGACACTCATTCAAGTCTAATTGGCTCCCAAATGCAATACAAGCACTGGCAGTCCAGTTTCTCCAACCAGAAGAGGACCAAATATACTTCACAGGGTTTTAGATCATTATGTTATAGTCATCACCCTAGGAACAGGATATAACTCCTCACTTGGGAAGCCCAGGTGTGCTTGATAAATAAAGATCCTGTAAGTGCTTAGTCTCATAAATCACTGAATCTCACCTCACCTGATCTAGGAGACCTACCACCTTTCCCTGTCTCTGGACACAGTCCACGATGCCTGGACACCAGATGTTGTACAACGGAGAGAAGCCTTGAGGGCAGACAGTCAAAGGACTCCCAGAGCTGAAGACGTACAGACAGTGCAAAGAAGCTGGGCCCTCCATGCAGAGATCCTTCATAAACTGGAGTCTGGATATCTCCAAACCCTCTCTGCAGATGGAGGATGCCTTCTCAGGAAGATTGGCTCAGTCCCCATGGGGACAGGGTAAGGTAAAATGGGAGACGTGGACAGGACTAGGTCTAACTGTTGGTCAGATTCTTACCTTGAGGAGTCAGCTGGATTTCATTTTTTTCATGTGAAATGAAGTTTCACTCTCTGATTGAGGGTCCTGAGACTGTCAGCCCACCACCACACACCCAGCCGCAGTGGACAGTATGGTAGCACGGGGAGGGGAGGGGCGACCTGCCAGGGGCTCTGCAGTCTTTCTGGAACTCATTGTGAGCAAAGAACCACTTGCCAGGTACTGAGAGTGAACAGTGGAGGGATGGTTGGTGGTGTAGGAGGGAGGTGTTCATGATTAGGTGCATTGAAAACGAGTGAGAACAAGTGTGTGACAGGCTGGGATTTCCGTTCCGTTACACTCCACCAGACCACCAATTTCCATTTCTTTGTTTATGGCTGTATCTGAATGGAACACCCTGGAACTGCCCAGCATGTGTTACATGAGGCAATAAGCAGATCAAGCAGTAGCTCACTGCTCAAAGAAGAGTGTGTGTCAATGTGAACAACTATGTATTCATTGAAATCTGTTGAGTTTGTGTATTTATCAGGGCTTGAGTGTTGTGATCTCATGTAGTTCAGTCTGGCTGCAAATTCCCTTACTCAGCAGGATGATCTCAATTTTCTGATACTGCAGCCTCCACATCCCAATACCAGCTTTAGAGGCTCATGCCAGTGCACCTTTTTTTATGTGAGGCTTAGGACCACATCAAAGGCTTCCTGCATCATAGGCATCTCTATAAAATGACATGCAGTCCAAGCCCCAAAAAGTGTTTGTAAAAACACAAATAATGGTTTTCTTCACAGCAGTGCACACGTGAATACAATTGGAATTAGCCTATACTCACCTGCTCCATAGTCCTAACTTGCACACCCCACACCAAGCTAGCCTTTCTACTTTGACCCTTCCACTCTGTATGGCCAATTATTGTCCACAATGGGCAGTGAACACATGAATACCTGCTCAATATTTCTCACTCACACTACCTCTCCCCCTTCTGCTTATCCCCTTTATTTATTAAGTGATGGAAATGGCATTATGGTGTTCGGTCACCTTCTTTATTGTTCCCATGTCTCTTACTGATATAGTAAAATGGAGGAGACACAGAACTTTGACATGCTCTACCCAGTGAAGGATTTAGCTGGTCCTGGAAAATCGATACCAACCTAGGCATTTGGGTCTTAAGTGCTGTGTTGTGTCGCCATCTACTGCTGACTCTCAGCTCCACACCGGCACCTCCATGTTGGTGATGGTCTTTAGTTTCTAATCTTCCCCCAGACACTCTTACCCAAGAGTCCCAGGGATCCTGGACACTCTGCGAACCATCTAGAACTCACGCTCCCCAAACATATGTGATCTTATGTCTGGTCTAGTCTAGGTAGCCTTTGAAAGCTCCACTGTCTTCCAGACTGACTCAATGTCTCACAATCCTGCACTGCTCCCACAGACCCTAAGGTATCAACACTGTCTAGATGACCTTGCAATTCTGCTTTCACTGGCTCTTAGTCCTCTTCTCCTGCTTCATAGTCATGCAGGAAGTGAAGCAGCAACACACAGAGGGTCCCTGTGATACATAGAGCTCTTCATAGATTGTCATGCCATTGCTACTTGTAGACAGACTGTAAGCATGCGTGATGAGCATGAGAGCATCTGGTGTGTGTGCAGGTGTGAATGGATATATATATATATATATACATATATATATATATATGTATTTTTCTTCAATAATCTATACCTGGCATGTGCACAGCAGCTTGAAACCCCAGCAAGCAGCATTTCCTGGAGAAAGGAAAACAAACCAAGCTTCACACCTTAAATAAAGATGGTCAAACCTGAAGGAAGGACAGAGTGGGAAGGATGTAAAACCTTTAGAGTGTGGACTGATAGGGCCACTCTACCTTCCTTCCATCGGACTTAAGAGAGAACTCTGTCTCAGATGCAGCTCTGTATAAGCTGAGCCCTCTGGTTGCTGGGATTGCATCCCTTGCTCTCAGTGTGAAATGCACAGTGAAGAATCAGCTCCAAGTCAGCCACGTCACGTTTTCCACTTCCCGTTACTCTTCATGAACGAGGTGACAAGGGAATGGGTGAAGAGGGAAGAGCAGCACCAGATGAGATTCTCATGACCGAGAAACACTGTTCATGGGTACCACTTCATCATCATCATCGGCCACCATATTTTTTCAGCCCCCAGTGCAGATGGTGTCTTCAGGCAAATGAACCTGCACCTATGAGAATTCTCTTCTGCTGGAGTGATCAGGTGCCTGTTCAACATGAGTTTCTGGAAAGGAGAGAACCATCTGCCTGACAGCTCGAGAGTATCATGCAGATGCACGAGGATGTCTCCACCATTATACTGCTGTTCTCAGATTATAACACACACTCAAGAGAGCAAATGACTCATGCAGTGATGGACATGAAAAGCCTGTCTGTGACAGCATCACTGCCACGCTACGATTTTCAAACCCCTTAGCACACGAAGCCTATAAGTGGGCAGGAATATAGGAAAATATTATGGACTGACACATGCAGTATTTACAGTGATGACCTTTTCCCTGGTCACAGGTAATCCAGAACTCTGTACCTGTGCCAGCATCCTTCTCAGCATTGGAGCCTTCTGTCTGTCCCAGGGCCTGGGTGTATAACAGGCACTTAGGAGCTGTTTTGTATTCTGAAGGAAAGAAAAACTCATCAAATCCTCACTTGGGCCCATGAGGTAACTACAAGAAAGGATGGAAGACTAGCATCTCAGCATTCCTCTTGTGTCTGTTTCCTGTTCTTTGTTTCAGACCTCTGAATACCTATACAAGGACTGATTTTCCATGTAAAGGAGCAACCCCTGTTAAACCAAAGGCCATGACAGCCAGAAATAGAGATAGCAGGAAGGCTGCCTGCAGACCTTCCCCCCTCTCTGTTCCCTCAGACCCAATCCCCACTCTCACCCCCAGCTCTACAGCAAAACAGCCATGACTACCTTTCCTGCCCCTGCCTCCATCTACTGTGTTTCCCCTAGATCTTCCCTTTCTAACCTCACTCCCCACCCTTGTTGCTTTGATCCAGAACCCAACTGCAGTAGTCACTCCTGCTAACCCAGGGGAAACTTCTCACAGGGCAAAAATACGCTAAAGGCAGACACACACCTCTCCTACTGCTCCTGAGACCCAGTCACACCAGTTTCATTCCCTGTTCTAGAGCAGGAAACCTGCTGTGGTCTCCCTTTCCTCTCTGTCCCCATCCCCATGGATCATAAAGAAATTCTCCTCCAACCTTCCTCCCCCAACTCATACCATGGTCCCAAACACTAATAGCAGCAGACATTTGCTGTGAACACACCAGTCCAGGAATTCAGGCAACACAGCCACCACACTCTCTGAAAATACATAGGAAGCAGACACCAAGGAACAAAACACCCACACAATGCAGACAAGATCAGACATTAGCATCTAGCATTGCAATTGTCCCAAACCCTACAGTGTAGAAACACAGTATCAGTCAGGGCAAGATGTCCCCACTAGATGCCAGATATCCTTTCATATTATGCAATAGCCCTGAATATTCAATATAGCTGAAGCACAAGAAAAAGACTTTAATGAAGCTCATATGAAGATGACAGAGCTCCTTGTAGATGAAATCAATAAATCCCTTGAAGAAATCCAGAAAAAGTGAAATAGACAGTGGAATGAAATGAATAACACTGCTCAAGACATGGAATTGGAAATGGAATCAATAAAGAAATCAAAGCTGAAATAATTATGGAAATGAAACATTTGGGAAATCTAACAGGTACCTTCAGATGCAAACTTCCCCAGCAGAAGACAAAAGATGGAAGACAGAATCTCAGGCACTGAAGATACTATAGAAGAAAAGAACAATAGAAAAGGAAAAATGGATCATGAATGAAATTCAGAAAGAAATTAAAGGCATTCTCGACTCAATGAAAATAAATACACAGCATTCTCAAACTTATGAAACACAATTAAGGTAGTGCTAAGAGGAGTGATTCTATAACTAAGGATCCATATTAAAAAATGGAGTGGTCTCATATTAGCCACCTAACAACATACCACAAAGCTCTAGAACAAAAACAAGTGAGCACACTCAAGAGGAGTAGTTGCCAAGAAATAATTAAACTCAAGGTTGAAACCAATAAAATAGGAACAAAGAGAACAATAAAAAATGCAACAGAGTTAGTTCTTTAAAACCTCCACGAGATAGACAAACTTTCAGGCAAACTAACTAAAAGGAGAGAGAAGATCCAAATGAACCAAATCAAAAACTAAAAGGGACAAATAACAGCAGGCAGTGAGCAAATCCAGAGAATCATCAGGGCATAGTTTAAAAACCAGTACTCTACCAAATTGGAATATCTAAAATAAAATAACTTTTTTTCAATAGCTACCACTTACCAAAGGTAAATAAAAAACCAGATAAACAATCTAAGTAGACCTATAACCCCTAGAGAAATAGAAGAAGTCATTAAAATCACTCATCCAAAATAACAAAAACAACAACAAAACAGGAATGGATGGTTTCAGCACAGAAGTCAATGAGAGCTTGAAAGAAAACTTAAAGAAGCCAATGTTCTTCAAATTATTCCCATAAAGTACAAATAAAAGGGAACATTGCCAATTAATCTTACGAGGCCACTATTAGCCTGATATCCAATACACATAATGATTAAAAATGAAAGAGTATTATAGAACAATTTCCCTTTTGAATATAGACCAAAATATACTCAATAACCCTAATGACAGCTTGCAGCAGCCACCATCAACATAAATGGAAAGAAACTCAAAGAAATCCCACTACAATCAAGAACAAGACAAAGTTGTTCATACTCTCCATACCTATGCAATACCATACTAGAAGTCTTAACTAGAGCAATAAGTCAACTGAAGATCAAATTGGAAAGGAAGAAGTTCAAGTATTATGATATTGAGATGATATGACAGTTTAAGTAAGTGACCCTAAAAATTACACCAGAGAGCATCTACAGCTGATAAACACTTTCAGCAAAGTGTCTGGCTGTACAACTAATGCAAAGAAATCAGTAGCCCTCCTATACTCAATTATGAAACAATTATTGAGAAACTAATATTAAATTAGACTTGTTTGGACAATGGCTCATGTGTATTACTACATGGCTCTCTCATATACATTAACACATTTATCTTAATCTATGTATTTCCATGAGGCTGTGAATTACTGACACTGCTCCAGCATATCACTCCTTTGGCAGCTACATGGTGTCTCCTGACTCTGCCTACTTTCTCTCTGAACCTTTGTTTGGATTTCACCCCTAGTTATATTTTGCCTGGCCATTGGTCAAAACAGCTTTATTCATCAACCAATAAAAGTAGCACATATTCGCAGTATACAGAAGGACATCGCCTATCAGAAGAGAACACAATCAATTGGTAAAATAGCAGCTTATAGAATGGGAAAATAATTTTTTTACCAACTCCACAATGAAACATTACACAGCATTATAAATGGTATCATGACACTTGCAGGCTAATTTCTTACCTCCTGAGTGAGGTAAGACCTAGAAAGATAAATATGGTATCCCCTCACTTGTAAGTGTAAATTGGCCTTTAAGTAAACAATGAGTTGTGGGCGGTGGTAGTAGAAGTCTGTAATCCATGGACTTGGGGGGGCAGGTCAGCCTGGTCTACTAGTAAGTTCTAGGGCAGACAGAGCTGCATAACAACAACCTATCTCAAAAAATAAATAAAACAAGCAAAATTAAATGAAAACAAAGTTACAATTGTTAGACCCACAGAGGTTAGGTAAAGAGGAGAGGCCTACGTGGGGATGAGTAGATCTCCTGGAAGGGAGAAATGGAGATTTTAAAGTCAGACTGGGTGCAGGTAGGGATGGTAATGGAGATGGGTCATTAGGGGTGGGGGATGTGGTAGAGAGAGAGAGTATGGGGAGTGAAGGCTGGAGCTGGGAAGCACTTGGGGTGGAAACCTCATGCATTGACAACTTCCTGGAATCTATGAAGGTGATCCTAATGAGGACTCATAGTTACAGGGGAATGGATACTAAGTCTCCAGAGCCCATTGCTTGAAGCCGGCCAAACTTGCAATGGTGGGACTGGGTTGCATTCAATTGAGTTCTTGGCCCAGGGATCCCCATGGAAATCCTCAATCCAGGCTGTTTCTGAGACAAAGAAATGCTCACAGTCTGAAAATTGACAGTGGGCCCACACTGTTGAGGACAACACGCACACAATGCATTGAACATGGAGAATTTGAACTGCTGCCTACAAGGAACTTTCACCCCTATGTTCTAGTCTCTAGGCACTCAGGGTAACAAAATGAAGGCTAACAAAAAGAAAACAGGGACACCAAGGCAGCCGCAAAACATCTGACTTACATTCTGTACTGCCTACAAAATATACCAGGTAATGGTAACACAGAAAATGTCTGAGTAGCCAACCAATGGTTGATTTGACTTAAGGCCCACTCCACAAGAAGGAACCCATACATGACCTATGTGGATAATCAAGGAGCAGAGACTAGATAGCCCAGGGTCCTAGGGTAACTATAAACAATACTGATCTAAAATTCAATAAAATATTTTCAAATGATATCTTCCTATACTCATAGATCAGTGACTCCTTCAGTCATCTTCACAGGGGCTTCCACTGGTAGGAGATGGGAACAGATGTAGAGTCCAACAGCAAGATGTTATATAGAGGGAGCCTAAATTAGATGTCTCCATCATATCTATCCCATAGGAGCTCTGGAAATTCAATGGAAGTGGAGGCTAGGGATTGTAAGGGCCACAAGGGATGGAGGACACCAGCTGAACAAGGCCCTTTGGATCAACTAAACAAGGGACATATGAGCTCACAGAGACCGAAACAGCAATTACAGGGCCTAACTGGATCTACACCAGGTCATCTGTGTATGTGTTATACCCATTGGCTTAGTATTAATATGTGACACCTGATTGTGAGAACAAGGGGATCTCTGAATCGTGTGCCTACTGTTAGGGCTCTTCTATTGGATCTCCATGTCTATCTTTGATATGGTAGTGTTTGCTTTTAACGTAGTATATCTTATTTTGTTGTTTGGTTGTTATCTCTTAGAAGCCTGTTCTTTTCTAATGAGAAAGAGAAAGAGAGTGGCTCTGGAGGCAGGAAGGCTATGAGGAATTGGGAGGAGTAGAAGGAGGGGAAACCATAATCAGGATGTGCTACATGAAAAAAAGAATTTTATTTCCCTAAAAGAAAGAAAATCTGCCATAAAGATAATGATGATTGAAGTGCATTGGACAATTACTGAATCAACAGAATACGATTAATTAAAATTTTGTTATTTCAATTTGTGTATGTGAGAGAGGGGGGAGACACACACAGAGAGAGAGAGTAGGGGACTGGATGTGCATGTAAATACAGTGTCCATGGAGGCCATAATAAGACTTGGGATTCCCTAGAAGTCTAGGGTTCTTTGCACTTACAGAGTGCCCCATGAATTTTCTGGAACCAACTCCCAGTCCTCTGCAGGAACATCACATTCTGCTGTCAACTGCCAGACCCTCTGTATTTCATTATGCTCACAGAACTGACTGTGCATCTTTGCCATTTCTTTACCATTACTCCAGGAACACTGCACTTCCTCAGGATTTGCCTGACTATAAGTGGGACTAGCATGTTAATGGAACACAAGGAAGGTCTGAAGAAATCATGACTGAGTTATGAGGCCCAATTAGAGTTTGCGGGTCTTTGGACAACAAATGTGCAACAGGATGGCATCCCTCTAACGGACAAATTGTCCGATGTTGTCTGGAGGTCCTCTCTCCATGGTACTCTACTTCAGTGACCAGATATCACCCGTGGGACTTTCTGTCTAGCAGTGCTGGAGCCTAGCCCAGTTGTAGTGTCACTATCACCATCCAAGCTGCATGCTGAAGGCAAAGCAACATCCTTGTCTGTACAGAAAACACTCAGGATGGTGTAGATAACCTGCTGTATTTGGTTAACTGCCACATTTTGGCACTGGGGATTCATTGGGGAAGGTGTAGAGATGCTAGCAAGGATGATCTTGGAAACTGGTCACTCACAGGGAATGGAAGCCTGACCTCAAGTGTGCCAAGACCACTTGGACATCATCTGCACAATGTGTGGACATGTGGGAACAAGCCTGCCTCTTAGATGAATGTGCCCCTAACTCTTCCCAGAGGACTCCCCTTAGTAGATGCCAGGAAAAGATACTAATCAGGCAAGCAGCAATCCCATGTGGACAGTGAGTATATGAACCCAGAAAGCCGTTAATATTACTGGAGGTGTGTGGGTTTGGGGATTCACGGTCTTGTTGGAAGGATGTCAATCAGGTCAGCAGGGTAGGCATATTGAAGGACACAAAGCAGTGTTCCTTTCTTTATCTTTTCTCCTGGTATCCATGGTTTTGGTCCCTAAGTGTCCACATTGCCTGAAACCCTGGAGATGGTCCATTGACTTCCTGAAGGAGAGGCTTCTCCCTCTCACAGTTTTACCTATGTTATATACCCCAACATCACAAAGCAAGGAAATCCATTGAAGTCTGAAGTTGTTGAGCAGTTTCAGCTGATTCCCTGAGCATTGACACTGCTGGAGGCCAAAACTCAGACCAGGCTCAGTAAGCCAGCGGTGGGCAGAAATGTTGAGGGCCACCATCAAGAAAGCAGGCAAAGATGTAACCCCATGAGGATGCTCTCTCCAAGGACATCACCAATACCTCTCCACCCCCACCTGCTCAGTACTCAGTTCTCCATGGATCCTGTGTGTCACCTGCATCTCAGCCCAGGGCTCATCAGGAGACCTCACTATGAATGGAGATGATTGCACATAAGGTTACTGTCTGTAGGTGTCTCAGTTAGGGTTTTCTTGATGTGAAGAGTACCCACGCATAAGGCAACCTTTACAAAGGGAAACCTTTAACTCGGGCTGACTTACACTTCAGAGGTTTATTCCATTATCGTCATGGTGGGAAGCATGGCAGAATGCAGGTAGACATGGTGCTGGAGAGGCAGCAGAGATTTCTCCATCTGGATCCACATGCTACAGGAAGAGATAGTAAGTGAACCACCAAGCCTGGTTTGAGCTTCTGAGACCTCAAAGCCCACTCCCCATTAACACACTTCCTCCAACATGGCCACACCTACTCCAACAAGGCCACACATCAAATAATACCACTCCCTATGAGTCTTTGGGGCTTATTTTCATTCAGACCACCATAGTAGCTATATGTCGCATTGATTAGAGTTACTCATGTCTGCATTCAAACACCAGGTAGTCATTAAGAAAGGAGACTGAACTGGGCATGGTAGGTCTTGGCTTTAATCCCAGAATGCAAGACCCGGAGGCAGAGAAATATCTGTGTATTTTCTCCCACTCTGGTTACTTATGAATTTCTGGGACACAACTGTTATGTAGACTAACTCAAAACAACAACACAAACAAAACATAATGGAGACTGAAGGCAGAATGCATGGGTTCTCCTATTGCATTCCACTAACTTTCATGCCCATTAAGCATGTTCCAAGTTCTTTTCCTTGCAATTTTGTATTTACATTTGTTCACATGTACACTGTAATGGCATAAAAATGCAGTGTGTTTCTGTAGGGTTGACCACAACAGACGCATGAAAGTGGTGGGATCTGTTCCATCCGGTCCATGGTGCTGGGCAAGCATGATGGAATGTCACACCTCAGGGTCATTCATCATGTTCTTGGTCCTTTCTGGAGAGGAACCCACACAGTGTCTGTCCTTCCCAGTCTCTAGTTTCACCTGAGACAGTGAGTTTCCTCAATGGCAGCCCACTTCTTTGATTCACTTTATATCTTGATTACGGGAAGAGTCTTGAAAGGGTAATGTAATTCTCAAGCTCCATGGTGGGATCTGCTTACATCTGTTGTTCATGCTTTTGATGTCAAGTCTCAGGCACATCTGTGAGAGATTTTACTTGGAATGGAGCCTTGCAAAGTTCAGTCTCATGGAACTCACCCTGGCAAACAATCTTTTTTGACATAGTGAAAATCATATGACCATTTCCAGGTTCCACAGACAGTGATGTCATTATATATATATATGTATGTATGTAGTGTGTTTATATATGTATGTATATATTTCATTTTATTTTTATTTTTTACATTCTAATCCCAGTTCTTACTATCTCCCCTCTTATTGCTCCGTGATCTTCCATTCATGCCCCGTTTTCCTTTCAGAGAGAGAAAGGCTTCCCATGGGGAGTCAACAAAGTCCATCCAATCACCTCCTTGAGACCATAGCGTTCCCCACTGTCTAGGCTGGGCAAGGTATCTCTCCATAGGAAATAGGCTCCAAAAAAATCCAGTTCATGTACCATTGATAGATCCTGGTCCCACTTCCAGTGGCTTCACACACTTCTCACCCCACCCACTGTCACCTGCATTCAACAGGCCTATTTTGGTCCTATGCAGGATCCCCAGCTATCAGTCCAGAGTCAGTGAGCTCCCACCAACTTGGGTCAAGTGTCTCTGTGGTTTTCCCCATCCTGGTTTTGACCCCTTCGCAGTGATTATCACTCCTCCCTCTCTTCAACTGGACTCTGTGATTTCAGACCAGTGGTTAATTGCAGATCTCTGCATCTGCTTCCATCTGTTACCACATTAAGTTTCTATGATGACACTTACGGTAGTCCTCAATCTGATTACAGGAGAAGGGCAGTACAAGCACCCTCTCCACTATTATTTAGAGATCTGGGGTCATCCTTGTTAATTCCTGGGAATTGCCCTAGTGCCAGGTTTTTCCCAGTAATCCCATAATAACTCCCTCTATCAAGATAATTCTTTCCTTGCTCCCCCTCTCTGTCCTTCCCCGAATTCAACCATCCCGTTCCCTCATGTTCACCTCCCCTTTGCCCTTCTTTACACCCTCTCCACAAACCATCGCCCTCCCTCTCATGCTCCTGATTTATTCAGGTGAACTTGTGTATCCCATTTCCCCTTACTAGGCAGATCCATGTATGTCTCTCTTAGGCTCTTGTTTGTAACTGCCACATACATACATACATACATACATGCATATTCATGCTCACTGAACTTAGTGATACATCCTCTGTGTGAATATATGGTGTGAGATGTTTCACAATTTCCTTGGTTCTGTGGAGAGAGAGAGAGAGAGAGAGAGAGAGAGAGAGAGAGAGAGAGAGAGAGAGAGATGCTTTCTGGAATCTAGAGAATTCCTTTGTGTGCCCATCAGACAGTGGAATCTAACCAATGTTCCATTTTATGAAAATACCCTGCACAGGCACCACATTAGGGCAGCCAGAACAGAAAGAATAGCATCTGGGGCTCAGGAATCAGGGCCACACAGGTGTTCAGAGACCTTTCTCCTAGCACATGGAGGGAACTGTCTGCCAATCTGCACACTCTCACTATAAAATGAGGCCGATCATGTGGCAGTCTCCATGTGCCTCAGCACTCTCTCCCGGTATCCTAGGCAACCACCAGGTCTACATTCTGTCTGAAAAATCTTTTTCTCCCAGGTTATTGACTTCCTCTGGCACAGTGGCTTCAGAAAGAGATTAACAACCTACACCTCCGCCACCGCCTCCTGCCCAGAGACCTCACGGGGCCTCCAGCTGAGTCATGACATTTAAGGAACACCGGATCTGCAACCTCTCGTGACAGAAAATCAGAATGGTGCAGTGGGAGAATGTCTGTCTCCTTCAAAATGGCTGGGAGAGGTTAGCACGGTGCAATCATACAGATAAATCATGCGCAGTGATGAAATGTGTTGCAATGGCATCACCATGACAACTCCAATCAAGGCATAATTGGAGTCTCTCTTGTACACCTGACGTTAGAATCACACTGGAGGTTTTGAGAGCAGCAGCAACACTCCTGAGGCACTGGAAATGGCTCGTGAAGATTCTGCCTGCTCTCTTGTCCACTAAAGAGTGTCAGTCAGAAGGAGGGAACACACTGTGGTGGGGGCTTCACTACTCACGAAAGGGCTGGTATTATTTGAAAGTAGGTTGCAATTAATTAAAAGTGTACAGCTCAGTGCTGGGGAGCCAGGTGGCCGGTAAAGTGTCTGGATTATAGGCAGGAAGGTCAGAGATAAGATCCCCCAGCACAAACAAAAAAGCCAGACCTGGCAGGGCACTCCCCTAATCCTAGGGCTGCTAGGCAGAGAGGATTCCTGGCACTCACTATCTATCTCATCAAGCCACATGGTGAGTTCCAGGATCCTATAAGAAATCTTTCTCAAAACACATGATAGAGAGTCATAGAGCAGCAAACCCATGGCAACCTTGACCTTCACCTACACAGGCATGAGTGCCCACACTTCTGCACACGGACAGGCACTGAATCATACAGCACACAAATATAACTGTACAGTTCAAACCCTGGAGGAGAAAGACATGCAATTAAAGGAAGTAAAGATGATGAGTCAGTAGTTATATTCAAATGAGAGCATCCACAGGACTCAAATAACTGAGGGCAAAGTAAAGGGGACTACCTGGTCCCCAAAGAAGACCACCCTGCAAGGGAAGCCAGGAGCATAGCTAGACTGAAGCCAGGAGCATAGCTAGGCTCCAGCCACCACCAAGATGTCTCTGACCAAGCCCTTGGTGTTTTTATGCATATAAGGCATGGATTTTTCCAGAGGGTGGGGCAATGTGGTTGGCAGCTGAGCCTAGGTCATCCTGCCAAAAGTTCCTGCATCCACCATGCCAAGAGAGTCACAGCAGAACCTTTTGTTGGTTGAGGTGGCTCACTTGACTATTCGGGGAGGTAGACCTCAGGCCACATAGTTCTATGACCCTCCTCCTATTCTGCCATCTCCCTTTGAAACTTTGCCATTGTGTATTCTGAAGAGTGACACATAGTGATGTTGGATGCCGGGGGCAGATAAAGAAGACTGCCGGGTAGGTGAAGAATCAGGGGAAGATGTGACAGGAGAAAACAAGCGCCTACTAAAAGAGATCCACTGTTGAAAATCACAAAGACAAGCATTGCTGTTTAAAAAGGGAGAAATATTGCAAAGTAACAGGCAATCTTAACTGTAATGAAAATTTTACTGGTCACATAGTCAGTAGCATGGATTAGTCAGTGTGGTACAAAACTCACAATGTGTTCAACAGAAAAGTTGTTTCATGGATTAGGGTGGAGATCGGTACACAGTGTCTTCACCTCTTAAAAACTCTGACAAAACCACATGATGACTTTCCAGTCCACATTAACAACAGGAGGCAGGTGGTCATAGAGTCATAGAAGAGAACATGTTTTCATATTTGGAAGAGGGCATTTCATGCCATCTGGGACAAGCACAGGACACTACACTTGAAAACAGCAAATCATTTCAATGCTGGGGAAGTTAAATACACTTGCACACTATGACACATCCCTCTGATTAGACAGAGGTACAGGTGCCCAGCCCAGTGACTGCAGATCAGGGGGCATGTGAGAATGAAGTACTACAAACAGCACAGCCAGTAACATGTCTCACAGACTCCCCCTTGTTGCCCAGTACAAAAGAAGCTCTGCCTCTCATTGTCAAATGACAAGGAAGGATTACCCTGCCAGGTTGCCTGCACCCTCACAGCTATCAAGGCACCCCTAATGGCTGGGAGGCATGTGTTTCCAGGCCTCTACCAGATCCTTCTATCATGCAGAAGCTATACACTGAGCGCTGCAGAGTGGTTGCTAGGCAGCAACCCGGAGCAATGCCCAACTCCCTCATTTGAATAAGCCCACCCCACCCTACCTGTGTGGCATACAGACAGGTTAAATGCTGATTCCTATTGACAATGCAAAGAGGGGTGCATCTGCCCTCCCAGATGCTCTCTTGGATCATCAGAGTCTTTTAGCAGCTGAGAAATACAGAGCATGCACAGATCCCCGGTACTACCACTAATTAACCCACGGGATACTTTCCACTGCTGGCCCGAGACAAGCAAGAGCAGGCAGAAGGGTAAACTGACCTCCCCACTTTCCAGTCTATGAGACCTGTATACCCAGGCCAGAGCTGTATATACTTGGATTACTGGAAAACATGGGACTCCTGAAATCAGTCCCGACAAACATTCACTACTTATCGCCAGTTTTGGGGGATAATGACGCTTATCACCAATGTCTGACACCGTAACCAACCTTCCTTCAGTACAGTCTTACCCACTCCCTGGACTGTCCATGCTGACCCTAGAATGCATACTCTTTGCCTCTCCATCTAAATGAAACTATGCCTTTCCTGTCCTGCTGTGTCTTTAAATTATTTTATTGACCTCAGCAAGAGTCTGGGTGGGGTGGGTGGGTCAGGTGTGATGCACAGTTATGAAATCCCAAGTCAACCTTTGCTATGACAATAATTGAGTGGATACATGGGCAATTCCTCCAGAAATCCACAATTTGGTGTGGCTGAGGAAGAAATCTTTTCTTCCATGTAGAGTCACACAACTGAATGTTTTAGGTGATACAGAACATTGGGTAGCTGCCTAAAGCCTGCATTCCCTTGCTTAAACTTCTGAGAGTTGCAAGTGAATGTCTCTCCTATGCAGAATATGCATCCCATCATACCTGCAATTCTTTTTGTGGGAGCACTCAATAAACTGACATCAGGAAGGCATATAGAAAACATAGGTATACCTTATATATACATATATATACACATATATACATTCATATTTATATACACACATATGATGTTGGTTCTTCATAACAGAAAATGGGGGCACTGAGTTAGAAGGAAAATGAGTGAAAACTCTGTGTGTGAATCACATCATGGGGGTTCAGGCTTCCTTGGTACCCAGTTTTCTTTTGTATAGGCTTACTCACACCACCAAACCCACAAAGGCATGCGAAAAGACATAATCAGGAAAGTTGAAGCCTTTCCTAGGACAATTATAGCTTGGCACAAGTGTAGGGACTCATCCAAAGGCAGCTGACTGCCTTGACCTCAGGAGAGCCCAGGCCATTGAGCTGGCCAGAACACAATGTCTTAGTCAGATTTCACCTCCATCCTCTGGGTGGCAGCTCCTCAGCCTTCTTCCATCCTCTACTTGAGCATCCTCTGGAACATTCTCACGCTTTCCTGCTGCCTCTCCAGTGGGAGCATCTGCTCTGGCTGCTGCTGCTCCCCAGTCCCCTCTGGCAGGGGCCTGGATCTGTGGGCTCCCAGGTTGAGGGTGAGGCCACTGAGGCCCTGAACCAGCGTTTCCCAGGAGGGAGGGTTGGAAGCTGTGTTCCTCTCTCCACTCAACCCAGCAATATTCGGCACATGGCCCTGGCATTGGAGCGAATTTTGAGCTCTGTTGCCTGAAGGAGAGCCTCTGACATCCCGTTCAAGAAGGTAAGGTGCCATGTGATCCCGGTGCCAGCGTCTCGAGTGCCTCAGGAAGACTTTCTTCCTCTGAGGAAAGCCCTGCTTTTCCCAGTACTGTTGCCACAGGGCCTTCTTTTCGCGGGCCTGCTGCTGGAGAAGGCCCTCTGACAGAGGAGCAGGGACACCTGGACCAGGGCTGCGGCTGAGGCTCAAACCACTGAGGCCCATGCTTAGTTTTTCTGAGGAGAAAGGCTGTGAGCCTGCTGAGGCCTCTTGGGAGCTTGTCACAGTGGCCATGTGGGAGGGCATGGAAATCGACATTGGATCCCATTTCTGCAGCGGATCCATGGGGAAGCCACACTGAGCCCTGGTTCCAGGAGGAAAAGTGAAGGTGGAGGCTTGTGGAATAACTAGGCGATAGCCAGGAGGAATGTGTGCAGCCAGGAAAATCCAGACTGTAACAAGAGGTGAGAAGACAAGAAAGAAAGCCCATGATTATTCATCTCACTTTGTCCCTCATCTTCAACACAGGGCCACCTCCCAGGCTGTATCCGATGGTTACATGAGATGACACATGTCCAGAGAGCTCAGCACAGGGCCTGGCACATCATCAGCATTCCTGCCATGGCAGCTGGTTCTCCTTCTATTGCCTGACAGCTCATGAGGAAGGTACCATAGGGTGAATAACACTGATTCTTGCCTGACTCCCCTGACCCATAATTCTCAAAGGCAACTCTTCTATAATGTATCAAGTGTGATGGACATTATTCATAAATGTTTGTATGGATTTGCAGGGTAGAATTTTATGAGCTTACAAGGATTTGATCCCTAGGACCTACAAGTCTCTGGTGGACACCCTACTAATCACTGACTTGCAACGCTGCCCTAGAAGCTGCTCAGTTGCCTGTGGGAACATTTCCATGGCATACACTGACATCACAACAACATTTCTCTCTTTGTGATGAGAATGCAAGTATCTTGGCAGGGTGATTCATTGACTCAGAGATATCTCTTTTCTGTGTAGCAACATGTGACCTTAGACAAGAGCTTAAAGGTGAATTTTGCAGTCACTAAATTTCAGGAATAGGCGTCCCGATGTAGCACCGAGAGCTGATTACTGCTTAACTGTTTGAATGTGGTCTTGACTTTACCTCCTGTATTCCTAGACCTACTCATCAACTGGCATGTGACAACCACAGCCAAACTCCTCTGTTGCTCTCTGCAATTCCAGTTTTTTTTATCCTTTCAATTGTGTGTGCTCAATGCTTCCCGGAAGCATGTCTGATAGGTGCAAACTGCTATGTTATAAAAATATAAAAAAGCATCTCTTTGTCCAAGTGCAGGAATATGAAACGTGGGAAGAAAATCAAAAGGGATACTGAACAACCTGGGTAAGGGTGGCATCAGTGACAGATAGCAAAGTCTAGAGTCACTCACAGATGGGGACACAGGAGTCACACCTCTGCCTACAGATAGCAGCAAGGTGATATTGATCAAGCTCAGTCCACAGTGACTATATATCCACACTCTTGAAAGGCAGTCAGAGAACAGTAGATACTGAGGTAGGCATCCCATGCTCCCTATGCTCAGGCATGAGGAGACAACTGACAAAAGAAATTCTTCATGCTTGTTAACCAGTGTGGGAGGTGATCAAGTTAACTTTGCCACTGCACAGGAGTGAAGAAAGTTCAGAAAACCTGGGACATCATGAAAAGACCAGAACTAAGAATAACAGATACAGAAGAAGAAGTTCAACTTAAAGGCACAGAAAATATATTCAACAAAATCATAGAAGAAAACTTTCCCAACCTAAAGAAGGAAATGCCTGTGAATATATAAGAACCTTACAAAACACCAAATAGACTGAATTAAAAAAACAACAACAAACAGTCCTCTACCCACATAGTAATCAAAACACAAAATATACAGAGTAAAGAAAGAATACAAAGAGCTGCAAAGGATATCCCAATGGAGACTCTCAAAGCCAGAAGGTCCTGGACAGACATTATGTAGACTCTAAGAGACCAGACTACTATAACCAGCAAAACTTTCAATCACCACAGATGGAGAAAACAAGATATTCCATAAGAAAACCAGATTTAAACAATACCTATCCATAAATCCAGGGCAACAGAAAACACTAGAATGAAAACTGCAACTAAAGGGGTTAGAGGGACCCATGAAAGCACAGACAATAGAGAATCCCACATCAGACTAAATGGAGAAAAACTCAATGTGATTCCTCTAAAATCAGGAACAAGACAAGGTTTTCCATTCTCTCCAGTATTGTACTTGAAGTTCTAGCTAGAGCAATAAGACAAGAGGAGATCAAGGGGATAAAATTGGAAAGGAAGAAGTCGAACTTTAATTATTTGCAGATGATACGATAGTTTACATAAGTGACCTGAAATATTCTACCAGGGAACTCTTATAGCTGATAAACACCTGCAAAGTGGCAGGATACAAAATTAACTAAAAAAAAAATCAGTAACCCTGCTATATATAGATGATACATGTGCTGAGAAACAAATCAGAGAAACATCATCTTTCACAATAGCCACAAACAACATAAAATATCTTGGGGTAACACTAACGGAACAGTGGAAGACCTGCATGACAAGAACTTTAAGTCTTTTTAAAAAAGAAATTTAAAAAGATACCAGAAAATGGAAAGATCTACCATGCTTTTGTATAGGTAAGATCAACAGAGTAAAGATAGCAATCTTACCAAAAGCAATCTACAGATTTAATGCAATTGCCATCAAAATCCCAACACAATTCTTCACAGACCTTGAAAGAACAATACTCAACTTTATATGGAAAAATACAAAATCCAGGATAGCTAAAACAATCCTGTACAATAAAGAATCTTCTGGAGGTATCACCATCCCCTACTTCAAACTGAACTATAGAACTGAACTATAGCTTGTTATTGGCATAAAAACAGACTGGTGGAAAACAGAATCAAACTGAAGACCCTGACATTAATCCACACACTTATGAACACGTGATTTTTGATAAAGAAGCCAAAATGGTACAATGGAAAATGGAAAACATTTTTAACAAATGGTGCTGGCATAACTGGATGTCAGCATGTATACGATTGCAAGTAGATCCATATCTATCCCCAAGGACAAAACTCAAATCCAAGTGGAACAAGGGGCTCAACATAAATCCAGTTACACTGATCCTTATAAGAGAGAAAGTGGGAAGTACCCTGTAATGCATTGTCACATGAGACTACTTCCTAAATATAACACCAGTAGCACAGACACTGAGAGTAACAATCAATAAATGGGACCTCCTAAAACTGAAAAGTTTCTGTAAGGCAAAGGTCATAGTCAATAAGACAAAATGGCAGCCCACAGAATGGGAAAATATCTTCACCAACCCCACATCTTACAAAGGACTGATTTCCAAAATATATAAAGAAATCAAGAACCTAGACATCAAAATACAAAATAACCCAGATGAAAAACGGGGTACAGTGCTAAACAGAATTCTCACAAGAAGAATCTCAAATGGCCAAAAGGACATTTAAGGAAGGGCTAAATATCCTAAATCATCATGTAAATGCAAATCAAAACAACATCTTACACCTGTCAGAATGGCTAAGATCAAAAATACCAAGGAAAGATGATGTTGGAAATGATGTGAGTCAGGGGAATATTCCTTCACTGCTGGTGGGTGTGCAAACTTGTATGGCCATTTTAAAAATCAGTATGGCAGTTTCTAAGAAAATTGGAAATCAATCTACCTCAAGACCCAGCAATACAATTCTCGGGCATTTACTTAAAGGGTGCTCAATTATACCACAAGGACACTTTCTCAAGAATGTTCACAGCAGCATCATTTGTAATAGCCCAAACCGGAAACAACCTAGATGCCTCTCAACTGAAGAATGGATAAGGAAAATGTGGTACACACTGGAGTACTATTCAGCTGAAAAAAAAAATGATGACCTCATGAAATTTGCAGGCAAATGGATGGAACTAGAAAAAAAAACATCTTGAGTGAGGTAACCCACACTCAGACAAACAGGGTAAGTATTCAGTCATAAGCAGATATTAGATATAATGCAAAGGATAACCAGACTACATTCCACAGCTCCAGACAAGCTGGGTAACAAAGAGGACCCTAAGAGGGACCCTAGCAGCAGGACCAAGATATAAACCTGGTACATGAGCTAGCTTATTGGAGCCCACTCTCTATACTGGGATGCCATGCTCAGCCTTAAGGCACAGGAGAGCGGCCTGGCCCTGCCCCAACCTATTGTGTCAGACTATGTTGATTCCTCATGGGAGCCCTTACCCATTAAGAAAAGTGGACTAGGGGTGGGCTGGGGGGGTGAGGGGGAGTGGTAGGAGGTAAGGGGGTGGGAGAAGGTATAGAAGGGAGAACTGTGATTGCATAAAAATGAAATTAAAAATTAAAAAAGATATTCAGAATGCTATGCATACCTTTCTCACCCAACATGTCCATTACTGGTTCTTTCCTGGGACAATGGTTTTATAGGAAAACAAGTTACTCCTCAAATGCCAACTTGTTTTCACCATGACAAGGATCTGTCCATATGCATTATGCCCCTCCTGCAGAGAGGCCTCTGAGGTCCCATCCCTCAGAAAAGTAGCCATTCAACACTGCAACCTCAAAACTCCCAGCCTGAGAGTTTTCAGGGTCTCTCAGGTTTCCACCTCCTTCAGAGGAAAAGGCAGGCTTAGCTGAGTGGGAAGGAGAGACATAGCACTCACTGCTATTAGCTTTCCTACAATAACTGAGAGGAGGGACGTTATTTCTTTGTGTGGGAGCCCATGTGAAAGCTCATTTTGTGGAAGGCTGCTAACAGGTCCATCCTGGCTACATGATTTCTAGTCCATAATGGAGACCTGGTTTCTCCTGAGGGCACTCAAATTCTGTCTTCTGCTCAGTAAGTGATATTCCTGGGGAACCTGCATGTGCTTTAGGATCTGAGCTGTGAACTCATCTGCACCATTTCTTCCAAGAGGGCAAATAATGGGGGGGGGGTTGATATTACACACAAAATAAATATACTTGACTTTGGTCTTGATGCATAAACAAAACTACAATCTCTCTCAGGATTAGGTAGCACAGAAACCAAACCAAGTCAGCTAGTGATACCCGAAAAGGTAACAATCTTTGCATTGTCACTCATAGTAGGAGGAGGAATCCTCTGGGATAATGTGGAGGGTGGGGTGTGTTCAGTAGATTTGAGGTACAAGGACAGTGTGGTTGAGGGGCTTGAAGTAGGAAGTAAGGTGTCAGTAGATGAGTGTAAAGTGGCAGCCACTCACCAAGCACCATGAAGCAAACGTTATAGGGCAAGGGTA